TTTGTAGAGCATTAGTCAATTATGTGGACTTGTGCCTTTTGGGTACATTGAAACCATGTGCGATAACACTTCTTAAACAAAGTTTCATATTTTTACTACACAGAATTACTGCACAGGCATGGTGTAGTACACATGATATATTACCAACCATGTATTCGCTTTTCAATACACATATTCTTGACAGTGCAATTAGTCTATCCAGCCAATCATTTTCATTATAAATATAGATATATACGATAAACTATAACAACCATTAGCAGTTTGTTAAATCAATATGCCTCATTTAGAAAAAGTAAATCCTAAATACATATTTACATGATACACAGCAATGACTATGGAGACCAGTAGTAGACATTTTGTACAGACCTTAACAGCTTTTCCTACCATGTGAACTCTTATACATCTCCTTGAGGGACATCTTTCTTTTTTTAGCAGTAGATTTTAATAAAAAGTTCACACACAGAGGCTACAAGTATCATCAGTGGCCTGACACAAATCATACAAAGTAATTAAAAAAAGAATTAAGGCTAACACTTTATCCTTAGCTCTCTCTATGGGTCTGAGTATTGGAGAGATTGCTAAAGATGTAGGCCCTGATTCTGCAAACACTTAAGCACATGGCTAGTCCCTATTAAAACATATGCATAAGTATTTGAAGAATCAAGGCCTTACTTGAGCTTCTGTATTGTATTACATGCTCAGTAATAGTGATGGTAGACTGACTTAGATGGAGTCTCTAGCTTCTTTTTAAGTTTTGTTAGATTATCTGAATTTAATTTTGGCTGATGATTCCAGTACTGAGAGGGCAGCAAACAACCTCCAAGATGTTGTGTTCAATACATGCACTATGCAAGCTGAAAGTGTACCAGACTAGATATTCAAAACTGGATGCTTGTCACGTCTAAAACCTGCGTAATAAATTAGTGGGAGGTGAACTACAAGAGTTTGGAGGTTACGTTTTAGATAAATGTTTGGCTGTTTAATCAGACTGTCTGAGCCACTTGGGTTCACAGAATTAGTCTGAAAATCTCTGGAGAACAGATTCTCACAAAACCAAAATGTTTTTTGACGGTGCCCTCAAAAGAGGGCTTGATTTGGCCTGTGTGAATAGTTTTAGTGGAAACTTGAACCCACCTGAAAACATGGGCCATTTGGGTCCTCCCAAACTCCCTTTTAGATAAAATATTCTATGGACTTGAATCAATACTGTTCACACAGCCTGTGTCCTCTCCATGCACTCCGCACTAGCTGGATATTCAGGTCAGAACCTCCTACATTTACTATTAGATGATATTTTGGGAGTTGAGGAGTGGGTTGTGAATTACTTCTTCCAGATTTTAATATGGAGACAAGGTGACACTGTCCTACTGCAGGTTTCAGAGTAGCAGCCGTGTTAGTCTGTATCTGCAAAAAGAACAGGAGTACTTGTGGCACCTTAGAGACTAACAAATTTATTAGAGCATAAGCTTTCGTGGACTACAGCCCACTTATTTTTCGGTATGCATCCGAAGAAGTGGGCTGTAGTACACGAAAGCTTATGCTCTAATAAATTTGCTAGTCTCTAAGGTGCCACAAGTACTCCTGTTCTTTTTGTCCTACTGCAGATATTGGGAGCACAGCCTGGAAGGATCACTTTCAGAGAACTTTTTTGAATATCTAGCTCCTAAAAAGTTGGGAACTGCAGCCTCTCATAACAGGTCTGATCCTAGACCACTGAAATTAGAGGGACTTTTGTCATTTTACTCAATGGGCCCAGAAACAAATCCTACAGACCTAGGAATAATTGAATACTTTTTAAAAAGTATTTAGACCTTTAAGATGAAGATAGATACCTAGTGAGATTTTCAGAAGAACCTAGATACTTATGAAAGGAAGTTAGGTGCCTAGACACTTCTGGAAATCCCACTAGGTGTCTATCTGAATCTTTCAGAACCTAAACACCTTTAAAAATCTGAACACAAGACATTTAATGGTTGGGTTAAATAATATCTACCCAGTCATACATAGGGCCATATCCTTACCTGATATAAATCAGCATAGCTCTATTGAGGTGAATAAAAATATGATGACTTTATGCCAGCTGAAGATCTGGCCTTTTTATTTACTGGAATGGTTAGTTTCAACCTCTTATTGTTTTTTGCAATGCATTATTAACCCAAATACACCCATTGAAATGCTATAAGCATCTGCCAAAGGACAATGAACATAAAAGAAGCTCATGCTTTTAAAAGGCTACATACCATATTGGGCTAAATTTTCATAAATATCCACCCAAGTTCTGTCTGCAAAACACAGAGTTGCACATGGGAAGATAGGTAATTGGACATGCATGTAGAAAATGGATATAGAATATGGAATTGCAGATTTTAAAGACAAACTGCATATTGTACAGGCAGTTATGCAACTTTTGCAGATGCAATACAAGGTTTACTGAGCACATTTTATGCACACGTTTAAAAAAATTATTCCAATGGTTTAAAATAACAACTGTACATAAAACATACATACACAGTTGCGCTTCCGAAAGGAAGACTGCAATTCCGCTTCATGGTCAGAGATAAAGTATTGTGCATTCCATTTGCCATCATTATTCTAACTCACTGGAGCGAAAGCATCATATAGTATGTGATAATAGACACATAGTAACTTGCATGTACATTCATCACTCAGGCACATATTTTAGAAAACTTTGCCCATTGCCTATAAGAATTCAGCTTAATATCTATCACTTAATGAGCCACTGAATCATATTTCTAGCATCCTATAAAATATCAGCAAAATGTTCAGATATTACTTTTATTTTGTATGTTGAATCAGTTTATTGAGCACCAGCATTTAAAGCTCTAGCTTGTCTCCTATGCTAGAAATATGGTAATGTGTCAGATATCTGTATCAAGTTTAAAAAATGCAAGTATGAGGAAATTAAATTTGCTTCTCTTATAAGGTTAATTCTAGAAGAAAGGCACCATGAAAGAAAGATAAATTGCTACACAACATACGGGGGAGAGATTTATTGCTCATGATGACACATGAATCAACCAAGGACTGAGTGTGACACACAGTTGTAATGAAACAAACCTGTCTATATTCTTCTCCGTCTTTTACTAGCCGCCTTAATAGTTCTTGTAAAAGTTGGCTCGGAAGTCATCTCACTCTTTTTGAATGATTGCTCTTTTTAAAAAGTTAATCTCTATGGGGACAGTATTGAATATTTAACCAGTCCTATGGTGGTTCTGCATGCAGACCTCCTATTGACTTCAATAGCAGTCCCATGCACAGATTAACAACAGGAATGGGCCTTAAGACAGCCAGTTGCAATACGCTTAAACAAATGTGATCACTATGGAACATAAAATTATCTATATTGTACCCTTTACAGTTTTTAAACTGACTAACAGCAGTTAGTCATTCTCCCTGACTCTTGTCAGAAATACAATCAAGCCATTAAAATAAGTCCTTAAGAAAAAAATACTGAACCAGATGTTTCTACTTATTGCACCTGAGAAAATCATGTTAAGCCCAATAAATCAAATCATTAAGATGAGGTAGACAATTTAATTTGGGGGAGAAGGGGCTAAACTTGGGGTGTTGGATCAGAGGAAATTTATTTAAATTCCCTAACTTTTTATGTAGCTATACAATTTATTTGACTACTATTAATAGTTAACATGAGAATATTTATTTACAGTGTAGTTGTCAATCTCCCTCGTTTAATATTTCATTTTTAAAGTATGTGAATGCTTGTTTATGTACACTTCACTATAGAAGAGAGATCTTTATAGAGCAATGGCTAAATTCACCACTGTTCTATGCAGGCTAATGCCCACATGGATACTTGGGGCCTGATCCAAAGCCAATTGAAATTAGTGAAAAGATTCCTATTGACTTCAATGGCCTTTGGATCAGGCTTTTACTAAAGCCTCAACAATAGACATTCTCCCAAGGTGCAGGAAGCTACAGAAAGCAGCTACAACCTCCCTTGCCTAGGTGGGACAGCTGTAAGGGACCAGTGTTTCCAAAAAGTGGACAAAGCTGGTTGGTAAATGTGCCTGACCATACCACCTGGGACAATACCTTTATTTAGTCTATCAGCCTCTGCTAATGGAGCGCATAGATCGGAATAAAATTCCCCTCACGTAGCAGAAATATAAGGGAGAGCAGTACCATTGCCTACCTTACTCCAAGAATGAATTTGAGCTCTCCAGTGCAGAGGGCCTCATCAGCTCAATATGGCCCTCAGATTCATATTTATCTGCAGAATATGAACAGAGCAAAAAATTTTCAATCTCATCAAGGACCTGAACCATTATTGGAAGATGCCAATCATATGAATGAAGGTATCTCACTATATGCATTCAATTCCAGGTGTACTCTGGGCACAAATCTGCAATCATACCATCACCAAAACATTCAGCTGGTTTTGTGGAGCAGACTATTTTAGACCGAACACTATACAAATCTATTCCTCGACAATTAATTTTTGTTGTGATGTAATTATGATTTCTTGTCTGGACTCTAAATCACTTTCTGTAGATAAGTGTGCAGATCTGAGGCAGAATTTTGTCTCTTTATCAGAAAAATTGACTAAAATCCACCGAGAAGCATTATCTCAGTATCAGAACACTTTGGTTACTGGCACAAAGAGTGAGTTTATAAAAATATTTTTGATATATTTAACAAACATATATACCATGTGAGGTTTTTGAGACCAACGGTGCTTGACTTAAAATTAATCTGGTGTCATAATGAGGACATCATGTGCTACCAATTAACTTTAAAATTACAGTAACAAAAATGAGGATTGATTAATTATTGTTCTTGTTTTTTACATATCAGTTAACTGGCAAAACATTTGGAATGTACAGAGATAATCTTATGCCACCTTGGTTTTCATTGAATCAAAAGGACAATTGCTGATGATCAGTGAATATAATTCTGAATGAATGGCTGGATGATGGTTTCAGGGTCAGAGATGTATGTGTCACTTAATTATGAAGTCATCTACTGAGTATAGTTATAATTAAAGGATAAAGTCAAACGAATAATACTTACAAAACAGAATTGTGTTGCCCTGAACTCCGTAAAGATTCTTATGCTAAGGACTGAACCAAATGTAATATACAGAATGAAGTCCCCATAGAAATATTGTACATAGGATTGTCTTGATTTTGTCTGAATGTTTTGCCAATTTGTATATCTGCATTAACAGCCGACTGAAAATGCAGTGATTGATAATGACAGAGCTGTTCTTTAATAAAAGACTGAGAAGAAACCATACCTCTAAAAGAGAAATGGGATTCTGGGTTCAGACTGAAGTCTGCAGATTGAATCTAGCTCTATAAGGGACTAAATCTAACACCCTGAAATTTGGGAAATTCAAATCTTGATCCAGAGTTTGGACCACAAATTTAGGAGAATTTGGATCCATGATTTTTGGCCCAGTCCATTTCAGCTTTGGGCCTATCTCTACTTCAAACCACCTTCTACTTCTCCCAAAAAACAACTAACCATCAAAAACCATAACAATTTAAAGCTTTTCATGATTAATAAAGTTTCAGTGAAGAAAATAACTAGACTCTTTGAAAACTTTCTGGGAAATGAGTCCAGTCCTGCAGTCATTGGGTAAAATCCTCCCCTATCCCTATACAGTTCAGACATGTGGGAAAGGGACATATGTATCCTGACCACTTATCCCCGTATACCCTGTGGAAAAGTCCTCTAGAATTTCATGGGGAGGAAACCAAGAAAGTTCTATAGAAATTACTCTGAGAACCTACAGGATTTAATAAGGAAAGGTGGCCTTAATTGAGCCATCCTATAGCACTCTATAGGAGATATCATTCTCTATTCAGTTCTACAGGATAGTTCAAAAAAGCATATAGAAAAAGGACCTCAGAAGCTACAGCAAAGGGGCCATATAAGCACATAGGTAAACAGACAGATAATTTTCTATTAAGGTCTAACAAGATTTTCCATAGGGACCTACTCAAGCAGCCAGGTGAGCATCATTCTGTAGTTCTAGCAAGGGGGATCGGGTGGAGCATCACATGGAGCCAGCAACATGTGCAAGCCAGGGATGCACACTACAGCTTTTTAGAGTAGCATTGAAATGGACCCTGCAAAGTTTTGCTCCTGCCACTTCTATGGCTCCCTCAAATAAGGACAGGGTTTGACTCATTATGGATGCATCACCTTGCATTGAAGTCAATGGGATATTTGTGTTTGGAGAGCTGGCAGGTTCAGGTATCAATTACAACACTTCATGTCAAAAGAAGGACATGTGAAGCAGCCAGCTTCACTAGGAAAGTTGTTACATGGGCTGCTGATGATGTACAAGCTAGACTGTGAGCTTCAGTGAATAACTTTCATGACCATTGTTAGTTAATGATAGCTACATGTTACTCCCCCCAACCACCTTGTATTCTTCCATCTTTCGTGGAGATTCTGTGCTGGCTTCCTCATTCAGTTGTTTGCAATATATTCTGATTGTGCGATTCGCTTGTGAGGGCTGAGGAATTTATGGAGCTTCTTTTAAGAATCTTGTTTATTATGTCCTTCCACGTCTTCTTGTACTGATGTCGTAATAAAGAGTACACAAAAGGGTCTGAAACAGCTTTGCTGTAAGCCAAGCACTTGGAAATGACTCCCCAGTGAGAATTGATGGGGACTACGGATGATAATTCTACCACTCTGCCAAGAAACGGGGAAAAGTGTTACTGAGAGAGAGACATAACAACAGTACAGATGGAAACAGAGCAAACTGCTAGTGGCACACCAGTTGGATCAGGGAGAGGAATTTTCTTTGTATTGTTCAGTTCTTAGCAGAACAAGGGACTACAATTTCAGCATAGCACATTGGTTCTACATACAGCTGCCTTTATTATAAATGGAAGTTACATGCATACCTCCCTGTGCAGGTTAGCAGAGGACTATAACTGGATGACCAGTTCTGTGCACAACAGAACAAACCCACACAGACCAAGTACCAGCTGTATTGTTTTTTTATGTGGTGGTTCTTTATTGTGGAAACCACATTCCCTCACACATAAGCCATATACAGCTGCCTTCTTGGGATCTTGAAGCTACTGAATGATAGCATCAAGAAGAGGAAAAAACATGAGCCCACCTCCCCAAGATCTTTAAACTAAATGCAAGAGACCAAATTCTCATGTTTTACTCAGTCCTTTCTCAGATAAGCTGCATTTACTGTAGTCAGAAATCCTGAGGAATCATCTCTGGATCTGACCTGAGCAGAAATGTTCACTATATTGGACCACATACAGCCCAGCTGTAAGTAAATGCATTCCACTAGCTTCAATGAAGTTGCATCCATTTGGAGCAAGGATATGTTTACTGTTCAAGCTTGATTTTTAGAAATATTGATATGAACATGACTTTACTTGTATGATCTCTCCCATGGCTTTTCTAGTAACAATGAGAAAAGTAAACAAAGAATGTACTTCCCTTGATTTAGAGCAGGTCCCGTTCAGTGTGGGTCTCACACTGAGCATTTAGGGACCTCACACAAGTCTTATGATTCATAACAAATATTCAACAATTATTCTTTGATTCTGTAGGCTGTATCCTATCTGTATGCCCTTCCTGAGAAGGTGTATTGCTTTCTTTGATCTCTACTGGATGCTTATTCCTATAAGGTCTTGGCCTAGTAAAGGAAAGCATGAATTTACACTTGGCTTTCTTCAGAAATTATTTTTAATAGTGGTGTATCATCAGCTTCATGTTTATTTTTGGTTTTGCTTAGTCACAAATTAATTAATGAAATGAATACAGTCTTCACTGAAAATTTCCTGTTAAATATCATGCTATTATCACACAATCACTGGTGCACAACAAATTAATCTCAACTCTTACAAGAACCTTTTTTCCAAATTGTCCAAAATAATTTTCTAAATATTGTCCTAAAACCGTTTTTTAGTATGCTAGAGTTCAACTCCGAGAGGAGTGCCATTGCTCAGGCGAGTGGATTGCATGTGCAGAATACTAGCTGTACGTCTACATGGCAAAAAAAAAAAAACCAAACACAAAACACAAAGAACTACTGCAGCAAGTCTGAGCCCAGCTAAACGAACTTGGGCTTGAACTATGGGTCTAAAAATAGCAGTGTATAGTGTTCCTGCTCAGGCTGAAGCCCAGATTCTGAGACCCTCCCAGCTCGATGGGTGTCAGGACTTAGGCTCCAGCCCAAGTGGGAATATTTACACTGCTGTATTTAGCCCTGTCATGCAAGCCTCATGAAGCTGAGTCAGTTGACCTAGGCGCTGAGACTTGTTGCTTCAGGGGTTGTGTTTTTGTCTTTGCAGTGTAGATGTATCCTAGATCTTGAAGGATGGTAGTTCCCAGGGCTGCCCAGAGGATTCAGGGGGCCTGGGGTCTTCGGTGAAGACCTGGCACTTCAACGGCGGGTCCCGGGGCAGAAGGACCCCCCCATCGCGGGTCTTTAGGGCACTTCGGCGGCGGGTCCTGGAGCAGAAGGACCCCCCCGCCGCTGAATTGCAGCCGAAGACCTGGAGTGGAAGAAGCTCTGGGGGCCCGGGCTCCACAAGAGTTTTCCGGGGCCCCCAGAGCGAGTGAAGGACCCCCGGAGTGAGGAAAAACTCTCGTGGGGGCCCCTGCGGGGCCCGGGGCCTGGGGCAAATTGCCCCACTTGCCCCGCCCCACCCCAGGTGGCCCTGGTAGTTCCTGTAATGTTCTCGATAACTTTTGTATATTAGACATTTTGGAAATCGTCTTGTTGTCACAGAGGAACCATATACCTCTTCCAGCTGTTCTGGACCAACTCTTGAGCAGCCTGGCTAATGACTAGACAGTAGCAAGTATCACGAGTGTTATCTGGCTCTAAAATAATGGATGAAACATCCAATTTCTATTAAATGTAATGGAAAGATTCCAATTGTCTTCATTCAACATTTGATCTGTCTCTAAGAAAAGGGGGCAATGTAGGAAAATTCATCACTGAGAGATCATCTAGATGCTAATATTAGAGAGATGTTCTGAATTAATAAATCAGTCATTTAATGGAAAAAACGTACACATGTGCAATATAGCAATGTGAATTTTTCAAAGCAGCAGCGAAAAGAGTTTCTCAGCTAAGTTACTTCATTTTATGCTGATTCAAATACAGATACTTCATTTTGTGATATTTCAGGCAATGTTGATAAGACAATATTGAATATTTTGCAAGCTTTTCTCTTGAAATGTCTTTGAGAAGCACCGAAGGGCAGTTCTGCTTAATATGTGTCCAAAATTGTTGAAAAACAATTGATTTTTCCAGAACAGTATTTCAAAAGATACATGTCCTGCTATCTGAGAATAAAATGCCCTGATCTGCATTGGGAAATTAAATCTTTGCTGAAAGTTTTCAGCAGCAGGTCCCCATGAACATGTATAGCAAATGGGTTTATTGCTAGTGTTCCTGCAGGGAAAAAAACTGTCAGTACTGTTTCAGAGAGCATGACTGAAGCACAGTTTTTGAAGCAGTATTAAAAGTAGCTTTGTCTGACTCAATCATCTTACAGATTGTATGTCTTCTCCCTTGGTTTATTAATCTCTTGCTTAATTCCTCCCTCAATCATGCTTTTTGAAGGAGAATTGAGAAGCGGCATGGGCCAAAGGTTAGGGCACTGGATTGGGACCTGGGTTCCTTAATTGGCTCCGCCACTAGCTTTGGGCAAGTCACTTCACCTCTCCGTGTTCCTCTTTCCCTTCCCACCTTTTGTTTGTCCTGCCTACTTACACTGTAAACTCTTTGGCACTATGCCCTGGTCTACACTACAAAATCCATACCCCTGACCGATGTAATTATACCGACCTCACCCCCACTGTAGACAGTGCTGTGTTGATAGGAGAGCTTCCTCCATTGATGTAGCTACAGCCTCTCGGGGAGGAGGAGTACCTATGCCGATGGGAGAAGCTCCGGGTAGGCGTCTTCACTAAGAATGACAGAGGCGCCATTGCAGTGCTGTAAGTGTAGACAAGTCCTATGTGTTTGTACAGCACCTAGTTCGGAATCATAGAAATGTAGGGCTTGAAGGGACTTCGAGAGATCATCTAGTCTAGCCCCCCGTGCTTAGGCAGGACCAAGTATACCTAGACTATCCCTGACAAACATTCAACCTGTTCTTAAAAACCTCCAATAACAGGGATGCCACAATGTCCCTAGGAAGCCTAACCCCAAATCTAACAGAGCTTAATGACCCTTATAGTTGGAAAGATTTTTCTAATATCTAACCTAAACCTCCCTTGCTACAGATTAAGCCCATTACTACTTCTCCTTCCTTCAGTGGACCTGGAGAACGATTGATCATTGGCCTCTTTATAACAGCCCTTAAAGTATTTAAAGACTGTTATCTGGTCCCCTCTCAGTCTTCTTTCCTCAGTGCTAAACTTGCCCAAGTTTTTTAACCTTTACTCATAGGTCAGGTTTTCTAAACCTTTTTTCATGTTTGTTGCTCTCCTCTGCACTCTCTCCAATTTATCCACACCTTTCCTAAAGTGTGGTGCTCAGAACTGAACATAGTTCTTCACCTGAGGCCTCACCAATGCCAAATAGAGCAGGGCAATTACCTCCTATGTCTTATATGTGACATTCCTGCTAATACGTCCAAGAATAGTAGATTTTTTTGCACCTGCATCACATTGTTGACTCATATCCAATTTACTTTCCTCTATACCCCTTAGATCCTTTTTGGAAGTGCTAGCATCTAGCCAGATATCTCCCATTTTGGAGTTGTGCATCTTTCCTAAGCGCAGTACTTTGCATTTGTATTGAATTTCATCTTGTTGATTTCAGACCAATTCTCCAACTTGTCAAAGTCATTTTGAGGCTGTATAATGGAGCCATGATCTCAGTTGAGGCTTCCAGACACTACTGTAATGTAGATAATAATGAAGATCGTTCTATGTCTTTTACACTAGTATTTAAATACTATTTTGTATGGGGGTGTGTTTCTTTATATGAATGGTAAAGTTTCTTAGTGTGATCTTAGATGTTGCAGGAACAGTGAAAGAAAGGGAATTAAGGGGCGACACAGCAGAAAGGTGGACCCCATGATAGAAATACTCTCCAGCATGCCGGTTTTCATATTTTTTTCTTTGCTGTGAAAACCACTTTTGCTCTCATAGTTTCCCAGTCAATATCATGATGATAAACCTCTCATAAGCCATAGAGGGACTTTCAATTTTAAAATCAGTTGACAAACATGACTTCAATGTCTGTCGGTCTGCACATTGAACAGTATAACTACCGTACTTGCACTCTGTGAGCTGTTACTGTCCCCTATTGCCAATACTGTGAATGTTTAGATGTATATGAACTAAGACAATTAAATGAAATCATTGTCCAAGGGCAGCAAGTGAAGACAATGTTTGGCTATTGAGTTTAAACCAAAAAGTGCTGTACTGTAGATTAGTTTCCCTTTCAAATAATTGCATATTGGCTATTGCATAGCTGTCAAGTTTCAAAAGGGATTTTCTTTCCCACACATAACCAGGACCCCTTCATGTTGAAGATGCCCATTAACAAATTCAGTTCAGGTTCTCTAATCTTTTCTTCATATAGCCATTCTAAAATTGTTTGGTAACAAGCTGTATACTTCTTTCTCAGACAGAGGAAGTGCTCTAAAATGTGGGAAAGAGGTCAAGAGATCAGATAGGAGAAGGACGAGTCATTCAAACTCTGGTAACTAGAGAATACTTTACTGGGTGAGACATTTCATATTCTGATAGAGTTTGATGGAACTTCATTAAATTCAGTGGATGCCTTCAATAACCAAGATGTGAACTTTGTGTTTGACCCTGAGTCAATCAATTCCATGAATTATAATCAATCTTCTCTAAAAGCACATCAAGTAGACAGTTAGAGGAAGCTATCCAAGATTCACTGCTATTTTTTCTTCAATGATTGAGGCCTATTAGAAATCCCTCACATTTATCAACAGAATTTTTAGTAGTTTATTAAATTATATTTAAGTGTCCTTGAAACTTACAATTTGCATAATACATAGCGCGTTATTTTTGGCAACTATATATATATATATATATATATATATTTCTATGCCTGTGTTTTTATTACAGATGTAACATATGTAATAAAATCACAGGCATAGAAATGTACACAGAGCCCAATGCTGAATGTTGTGCAATACACAGACAATTCCATGATGGATATTCAAGACATATTGTATTTGTCATCATCTTTGAAGGAAGATTTTGTTTCCCATTGATGAGGGACATTCTATGCATCCAGTTTCAATTTTCATGAAACATTAGAGCCAAAAAGTGACATTTTCAGTAGTCGCATTAATATTTTAGTGCCATCTGTAAATTAAATTCCACAGCATCATCTACACAATTCCAAATGCCTTAATGCTTCAAAGCTGTATTCCTTGTAATATTTTGTTAATATTTTAGAATTTTATAATTATTAGAAAGGAGGTCATGTAGATAATAAATCTTTTAACTTCACTTCCAGTAAACAGGAGAGAATGTTTGTTTAGTTTGAGAATTAAGACATTAATCTCTTAGGCACTCTAGTGAAACCCCTTTGTATTAGTCAAGTCAGTGCATGCCTCTGTGTCTAAACATTTGTTGTAGTGAAAGCTTTTACTGCAAACACACTAAAGAAGCTTAGACAGTGATGTAGTTCCAACATACTTGATTTTCAGTGCTGTAATCTGAGAACAGTTATAGGAAAAAACACAGTATAGAACAGGTAGTCTCAAACATTTTATCATTAAACGGTGAGACAAAACAGATATTTTCTGGGTCTTTAGATGATCGTATCAGAACAAATCCATTCATTTTCCAGAAATTTGGTTAAGACTGTCTCTAGTGTATTACCTCTATTTAGCCTGAATTCTTATTGTTTTAGTATATGTCAAAATGCTAAGGGCCAACTTCTACCCTCAGATATTTGCACACAACTCCCATTGACATCAGAATTTGACCTGAATAGTTTCTGATTAAATATGTTGTACTGATGAGATCTTTATTTTCAAGGCTTTATCAGAGAGTTTTGATGCTACATGTTGATTTCTGTGTTAATTGTTGTAAAGAAGCTCCAGGCACGCAGCTCTTCACCTTATTGTTTGGTAAAATGGGAGCCTGTTAGCATGATGTCCTCCTTTTGACAAAGTGCTTGTTTTAATAGCCACTGCACTGGATAACCTCCAAAAGCATGAAAATGACTGCTTCTCAGTGATTTTGAGCAGCCTTATTAACAGTCAGTCTTGCTTCTTCAGTGTGTGTATGTATCATGACCTGCCATGTTCTGCAAGGAATCAGAGTGACATGTGAATTCCTATAACCTGACCTGTGAGCCCCAGAAGCCTTTTTTTCTAGCCATTGTCATATCTCCACTTCACATCAATTAAGACTTTCAGCTGAGTCTAGAAGGCTGTTTTTTTCAAAACTGGCTGCCCAAAATTGATTATGAAAATCGACTATTTATATGCACAAACTGGCAAGTGGGAACCCCTCATTGGAATTCTGTCCCCAAATACTCATTTGTACAAACAGGATTTTGTCTGCAAAGATCAGACAAGCAGGTTTGAAAAATGTGGCATTGTTTGTTTGTCAAATGTTCCATGATGACATAAGAGAATTCTTACCTTTTTTCGTTAAAAATTTGTTTGTTAGAGCTTGTGGGCTATTTTTTGCTGATGTTATGGGATAATTCATTAATTTAGGGCCTGATTATTGACACACAGCATTTACTCACATGAGTAAATGTTGAATATTATGAAATAATATGAAGGGCCTAGAGTCTGCAATAGGTCGCCAGAAAAAATTGAAATAAAAATATTTGTATTGAAAAGCTACAGAGAGGAAATAAAGGGATGTGTGAGAATGTTATCTAATGGTAGGTATAGCTACATATCTTAATATAAAGATATAAGGAACGGAAGCATTGACCAGCAGCATTATTGCAAATCAAAGTATATTAACATATAATATAGAAAGGTACAGCTATCATATTATTATGTTAGTAAATTCTAGAAATATGGACCAAAGACCTTCAGAAACAAGGAGTATTAGTACATGTCAGTGACTGGACCTAATGAGGTTTGTTATAAATTAAAGGGGTGTATCCTTAATAAGTATTTAATAGCATGTTTCTACTTCAGAGCTAAAAACAAACAGTTGCCTCCAGTACTTGTTTGAATCACTGAAAGTACTGGTTTTTAACCCCAGTTAGATTAGCTTTTCCCTGGCTAAACCAAAGTTACTTTGAGATCCCCTTATTCTAAACCCAGATCAATCATCACGCCTCATGATTTACAGTTTTGTGGCCTCAATTCAGCAAAGCATTAACCCACATGCTTAAAACCATCCCTACTCAGCATAGCAGGTAAGCACATATTTAATTGAAGCATGTGCTTAAGTGCTTTGCTGAATTAGGAATGAATTGCTGAAAGAGGGCCTGAGTGATTAACTTTCTCTTTCCATGCATACCTTATATTCACTCTTTGCTTAGAAAAATGACTAGGCGCTCGATTCTGAAAAGTGTTGAGAACTCTGTTCCCACTTAGATATCTGCCTAACTTTGATCACTTGATAGACCGATTGACTTCAACAGGATTACTCACATGCTTAAAGTTAAGCAGGTACCTAATGAGCTTTGCTGGATTTAGGACAGACTGCTCAGCGCCTTGCAAGACTGAGCCATAGGCTACTATGGAGAAGAACCTTAAAAATCACCATTCAGCCTTAAATTCAAAGTTTTAGTGTAAAATGAAGTTAGCCTCTTGAAATCAGACAAATACTCTAGTTCTGACATTGTAAAGCATGAGACTGAAGACTAAGTGATTCTAATAATCTAAAAAGTGTCAGAATGTGTTGCCTAGAAGATCTTATTGCTGTTATTAAGTGGAATTTATCAATAAATACAGCCACATTCTGTTACAAATAAACACCATGTATTTAATGGTCATTATTGTCATGGATGTAACATCATGAATGACACTCAAACCTCCAGTTCTGCCAAGAGATTTTAAGACTATTTAAAAATATATATAGATACCAAATATCATAAATATTCCAAAAAAATTAACTTAACCTTTTAGGTTGTGCCCACATATGTTGGGTCTGACTTTCCAGTAATTTATTTTCACTAGAACAGCTTTCAGTAATATTCAAGAAGAAATTTCCTTCTCCAGTTCCAGCACCAAAATTTGTCTGGAGTCCTTTAATAATGAATGCAAGTTGAACATTCCTTTCCAATATATGTAACTTCAGAATGTTTATCTGGGCTACATGCTTTAACATTTTTATCTCATAGGATTAATTTTATGTTTCCTATAGGACCATTTTTAAAGATAAGATAGCAGATGGAAACTGGCATCTGATCATAAATCACAAGAATTTTTGTTTTAGCTCTGAGCCACGAAAGCTTTGATATTCTGTTTATGCTTAAGAGCTCTATCCACTGAGACAAAACTTCCATTTAAGTCTGTGGGCCAGATTCTGATCTCATTTGACCAGATTCTCATAGCTTTGCTCAGGCTGTGTAGTACCTTATTCTGTAAAGCGTCCCACTGAAATCAGAGGGACAATTTGTGTACTGAACTAAGCATGAATAAGGACAGCAGACCCATCTGACCCACCAAGTTCAGTGGAGTTACTCCTGATTTACTCTGATGTGTATGAGAGAAGAATCCTGGCCTATTTGGACTTTGAGATCAAAGTTTGACCTGTTGCCTGACTGAGAATTGGACAGAATAAGAACTATAAAATATATAGAATACCCTTACTACAGTAAATGCAACCTTCATAACAGTGGAAATGTTTGACAAAAAATTTGATGAGAATAGGAGACTTGTGGATTAATATTTTGTTTTCTGATTGATTGATCTAACTTTTCTCAGTTAGTGCATATGGAATTTCAGTAGGTAGGTTTGAACTTACCTTGTAATTACATAAGGTGCAAAACAAAGTATAAAAGTACCAATAAAGGTACTGATTTTCTTTGTTGCTCGTTGCCGCCGTCTCTTTTGTTCTTCTAGACAACGCTCTCGTACACTGTGTAACATTTAACACAAACAATAACATGAATCACAATACCAAATAGCAGATTTTAATGGTTTTACTCCTGGAGTGGCTTATACAAGTCTTCCCAGAAAACGTTCTAGTCATACCGGACACTACTATCTATTAATTCATTGCATCCCTTAACTCATATTCTCCCCCGCGCCGCCCCCCCCCCCACTAAATTCTATTCTTTTATAATGAGATTGGGTCAAATTCATCCCTGGTGAAAGTAGCTATACCTCTCCTTGGAATCAGTGGAAGTTGTATCTGCTTATATCAGGCCTGAATTTGGCCCTTTGTAGTCAATGGAATTTGGAAAAAAACCAAAATGGTACATATGGAACATGAGTCTATAGAAAGAACATTTTAAACAACATATTATAGGGGAGGAGAAAAAAGGAGATCAGAACTTCCCAAAGTGATAACCAATACATATTCAGTATATTAATACCTTAGTTAAAAGCGATAAAAATGTAACTGGAAAAATATAACATACTGTGAAAGTTTTGTATGACATTAGAAAGATCATTCTATCACATAGATATGAATTGTATGGCCATACACTTTGTAATTACTTGTAAATTTCTATGCATAATACTAGAAAAAAGTTTATGTAGCTTTGCAAAACAGACAATTAAATATCAAGTCTAAATAGCTATAACATCCTGAACCCTGGACTGAAACCTGCATGTTTTGTTTATAAGGACTGACTAGACAAGTAGAAAGAAATTAACTACAGTATATATTTACTTCGGTATAATATTTGCCATTGTAGCACATGAACTGCTTCTTAAAACTCACATTGGGCCAGATCTGGAGGTGATCTGAAACCCTGGTTCTATGAGCTGCCTATGAGTTGCTAAGGAGCTCAACTCAAATTGAAATTAAGTGAGTGAGGATCCTCAGCACCTTTCTGAAATGAGCCTTTGGTTTTACTTGGCAAAACTTCCACTGAAATCAGTATCAATTCACCTAAATGAGGAGTGAGTGTATTTAGGATCCAGTTGAGGCCCATTCTGCTCATCTATACATGGAGAGAAGAGCCCTTTCTCAGGGCTGTTACGTCTGCACTGTGCATGTGGGTGGAAAGGGGCAGGGAAAATGCCCCATCTCCCTCAATGTCCCAACTAGCATGACTACATATGCTATGGCAAAGGCACATTCCCCCTTGAGCAAGGGAAACCAGGAGGCAGATTGGGGCTCTGAGTCAATCTGTTCCCTGCTCTGCTCCTGGGGCAGCACAACTGGAAGCTGTTTCATGCACAGGACTAACAGCAGAGCCACCATTGATCCTAAGTTAGGACTTCACGGTTCGAGCCAGGAGCAGCATTTCTGTAATTGTCATTTATCAATAATTTTATTGTAAATGCATTGTTGGTTCTCAGTTCCAAACATGTATACAGTAACAGGCATAGGGCTTACTGCCATCTCTGGATTCTGATAGCACTTAAGGCTAACGGAACCATAAAGATTTTCATTATCATCTCAGTGTCTAATCCTTTTTTGAATCCTACTAAATTCTGTCTTTCATTGCTACCTTGTGGCAATGAGTTCCAAGGCTTGCCGTGGGTTTCGTTAGAGAACGGATTTCCTACGTTCTCAGTTGGAAATAAATTCTTATATTGCCAGCTCCCTGGACATCTTCAGTCACTGTTTTTAAAACAAACATGCCAAAAAAAAGTTTCTTCCTCCCTTGAAATATGTGATCCCCACCCCCATTCCTGAAAAAAATACTCCTGCCCAGGATGGGGAGAATCATATCTCAACAATGCCACGTGCAAATTCTCTTTTTGTTTTGTTTTTGTTTTTGTTTGTTGATCTCTTCAAGGGTAAAAGTGGAATTTTTATACCTTTGGGAAAGGGTTCCACTGGAACCCAGGATTTGCTTTCAGTCCTGAAGGAACTGGGAAATTGGATTTTAAATATGTGGCATTTTAGATCTAGACCATCTATTTTAGGTTACTGATAGAGGTTTTTATTGCTTCCTCTTTGCCCTGTACAGCTGAACTCATGGCAACTCAGCCACCTGGCTTTCTAGGTGAAGGAACTTAATCCAAAAAAACCCCAATTCTCATCAATTTTTTTAACTCTCTAAAATATTTTTTCTCTATGTTATGTGGCATATTTGGAACCATTTAGTATTCAGGTTTTATTAACACTCAACTGGGACACTGCATATGTCACGCAAGACGTCCCAACTTGTGAGTAACACAACCATCCCAAAAGCATGTGATAAACACATCACATCTTAATATATTTTCTTTCACTCTTTTTCTTAGATACTATATATATGTATTTATGTGTATATGTATATTTCCATATGCAAATGCACTTATATGTTTATTAGGGTTGTCAAGCGATTAAAAATTAATTGAGATTAATCGCACGATTAAAAAAATCAATTGCGAGTAATCATGTGATTAATTGCACTGTTAAAAAATAATAGAATACCATTTATTTAAATATTTTTGGATGTTTTCTACATTTTC